AGTTCCAAGTAATTTAAAATAGTGATGTGAATTAGAAAATAAGTTAATAGAGGTAATTTCTAGCAGTTATAATTTAAATAATTTAGAATTTAGCTTACAAATGCTTAATGGTATGACTCTACAAAATGATAATAAAATTTGTTTACACCTGGTGCATCAAAATATACATGGCATGCCAGCTAAAGAGTTAGAAATGAATTGATCTTAAATAGCAAAATATTCAGATTTTTTGTATTACTGATCTTTGTTTAAAAGCTTATAACTTAATGTTCAGTAACAAAGTCGCCAGGTGGTCAATTGTTTCAATGGAGAGACGTTTTTAATATGTAGCCCACCTTAATATTAGCTAGTAAATTATTATCATGTAAAGAACGTAAAGATATTGTGAGCCTAATAGAGAAGCTCAATAGAGGAGCGAAGTATAGAAATGGCATGTGTTGAGTTTGAGGACCTCATTGCTGTGAGCGTCTGCAGAGCCCCATAATCTACACGTGATACTTTTGAAAAAAAAAATTGTTAAGCTTACTTTTATATATAAAGATACGGCTTATATTTTGAAGGATATTTTGCAGGTATGTGAAGTCCGCCAATTCACTTTGAAATAAAGAAAGAATGCCTGTGCCCAAATGTAGAAAATTAATAGAATATTCTCCTCGTCAGTTTCGACTACAGCGACAACTCTGGATGCAATCGAAAGTTGTCAATTATGTACCTATGTGAATTATAATATATTGAGAGATTTACCATTTTTTTTAATTTACCAATACGTTGAGCTAGCAGTGCATATCTCTTACACCCTCTCATAGTCCACAGCTGAGCATAGGACTCCATCATAAATTACCTCATTTTTTTTCAAGGATATAAATTGTAATATTTATTCTTTTGTTAAAGTATCGTGTATACTTTCATATGCATATAGTTAAAAACTGTTTTAACATTACAGACGGAAACTTCATTTGAATATATTTCTATAGATGAAAATATCGTGTCATCGCACTTCTTATTCTTTTCTATGCAAACCGAAACATTAGCTATTTTCAGCGTCTTAGCTTTTTGTTTCAAACATGTTTTTTAAACGATAGAAATCAGAAATGTGTAAACACAGCTCCATAATTCTTATCTTTATACATCATTATATGTACGTATATTCCTTTTTATTACTTATATAATTTCAGCGACACTGGGTAGAGCTGGCAATAGGAATAAAATGACAATGAATTTTGTGTATATATATTATTATAATGTAGGCATAAATAATAACATCACTAACATAGTTATTAGGTAAAATTGTTACTATAATATTATTACACTTAATATGGACTAATTATGTCTGAAATAAAGTTATATTATTATTTTTTTCTGTATAGTTTACTCATTTGGTTGGTTTCTATAAATATATAATTATAAATTTTTATTGAAAAGATAAATATACATAAATATCAATAAAATAAAATAAATACAAAAAATACACAAATAAATAAAGATCCAACCAGATGGAAACCCTCGGCAGAGGAGACCAAACGGCCGAGGGTTAGGAGGAAAGGGAAAGAAACCGACGGACGATGCAGGCGGTATCGAGGACCACTGCCTTCTGCATTTGAGCCCGGAGCGGTCCGTCACGCAGTCCCAGTCGCCTCAGATGACCCGAGAGGCTGACTGGGATTAGCCCATTCGCAGAGACTACAGGAATAATTTCGGTCGGCCGACCACCCCACATGTCGGTCACCTCGTGAGCCAGGTCCAGATATTTTGTTCGCTTATCTGTTTCGGCTTTCACGAGGTTCTCGTCATACGGAATGGTAATGTCGACCGGATATTTTTGGTTGACATTACCATTCCGCAGCACAATATCAGGCTTATTCGCAAGAATAGTCCCGTCTGTGATGATGGCCCGGTCCCAGTAGAGCCTGGCGCGGTCATTTTCGCACTTTCGTACTTGTAATACGGCAATTTTCGGTCCACGAGACCGTGTTTCAGAGCGAGCTCCTGGTGTAGAATTCTGGCTACTAGGTTGTGCCTGTGCAAGTACTCAGAGTTAGAAAGCACCGAACAACCGGAGATGACATGCCTAAGTGACTCCCCGGGATGGCGACAAGCTCGACAGACGTCGACAGTGCCATCCTTTAGGATGTATCTCGATAGTTGTTGGTCTTAATAACCTGATCCTGTATTGCACAGACAATACCCTCGGTTTCCCCGAAGAGGTCACCGAAACGTAGCCAGTTGAGGGAGGCGACTGTATCTACGAAGGACTCATGTAGAGCCTTGTAGTACCTCCCGTGGAGCTCCTTCTCCTTCCATACGGTCTCCCGGTCGGAAATGCTAAGCACTGCTGTGTCCTGCCATTGCTCGTTGGCTAAGGATAGAGGGGTAAGCCCTTTATCACTAGAAATGACGTCATTATAGAATGGATCATCCGATCTCGCCAAGAAGTATTGACGGAGACTGCACACTTCGCGATTATGCATGGTGAGCGCGCTCAGATTATTATTATGATTATTATTATTGGGGTATCTATATAATTTTCTCACCTGGTTGGGTTCTATAAATATATAATTATAAATTAAAATGAAAAGATAAATATACATAAATATCAATAAAATAAAATAAATACAAAAACTACATAAATAAATAAGATCCAACCAGATGGGAGCCCTCGGCAGGGGAGACCAAACGGCCGAGGGTTAGGGGGAAAGGGAAAGAAACCGGCGGACGATGCGGGCGGTATCGAGGAGTACCGCCTTCTGCATTTGAGCCCGGAGCGGTCCGTCACGGAGTCCCAGTCGCCTCAGATGACCTGAGAGGCTGACTGGGATTAGCCCATTCGCAGACACGACTACAGGAATAATTTCGGTCGGCATACCACCCCACATGTCGGTCACCTCGTGAGCCAGGTCCAGATATTTTGTTCGTTTCTCTGTTTCGGCTTTCACGAGGTTCTCGTCATACGGAATGGTAATGTCGATCAAAAATATCCTTGACTGTGCCCGGTCCATCAGCACAATATCAGGCTTATTCGCAAGAATAGTCCTGTCTGTGATGATGGCCCGGTCCCAGTAGAGCCTGGCGCGGTCATTTTCGAGCACGGCTTCCGACAAGTACTTGTAATACGGCAATTTTAGGTCCACGAGACCGTGTTTCAGAGCGAGCTCCTGGTGTAGAATTCTGGCTACTAGGTTGTGCCTGTGCAAGTACTCAGAGTTAGAAAGCGCCGAACAACCGGAGATGACATGCCTAAGTGACTCCCCGGGATGGCGACAAGCTCGACAGATGTCGACAGTGCCATCCTTTAGGATGTATCTTCGATAGCTGTTGGTCTTAATAACCTGATCCTGTATTGCACAGACAAAACCCTCGGTTTCCCCGAAGAGGTCACCGAAACGTAGCCAGTTGAGGGAGGCGGCTTTATCTACGTAAGGCTCATGTAGAGCCCTGTAGTACCTCCCGTGGAGCTCCTTCTCCTTCCATACGGTCTCCCGGTCGGAAATGCTCTGTACTAACGGGTCTTGCCATTGCTCGTTGGCTAAGGATAGAGGGGTAAGTCCTTTATCACTAGAAATGACGTCATTATAGAATGGATCATCCGATCTTGCCAGGAAGTAATGACGGAGGCTGTACACTTCGCGATTATGCATGGTGAACGCGCTCAGGAAGCCACGCCCACTATGCTATCGCGGCAAGTACAGCCTCATTACCGACGATCTCGGATGATGCATCCTATGGGACGTCATTGTAGTGCGGACTTTTCTATCCAGGGCGTTAAGTTCAGTCTGACTCCACCTGAGCATGCCAAAGGTATACATGAGGACAGACATGACCCAATCGTTATATGCATGTGTCTTATTCACACTGGACAAGAGGCTGTTAAGCACTTTGGTCAAGCGTGTATAAAACATGTCGCAAACTGACTGTTTCATACCAGCCTCATCGATACCGATGTTCTGTGACATACCCAGGTATCGGTATGTTTCAGCCTCGGAAAGGGCCCTTAAGTTGACGGGCATAGATAAGTCTATGCCCTCAGAGTTAGCAACCCTTCCCCTTTCAACATGGAGGACCGCACACTTATCCGTCCCCAGCTCCATTCTAATAGAATTGCTAAATTCACAAGTGATGTTTAGCAATTCCATAAGATGGGAGCGACTGGAGGCGAATAATTTGAGGTCATCCATATAGAAAAGGTGGGTCACTTTTGTACCTCCTTTTCGAAGCTGAAATCCCCTCCCGGAGCCCTCCAGTAAAGTACTGAGAGGGTTCAAAGAGAGGCAGAACCAGATTGGACTCAGACAGTCGCCCTGGAATATACCCCTTCTTATCCTTATGCGGCTTTCCGCAGCCGTCATCCGCTCGCCTAGATGACAGAGACCGTACTCCACTGCCCCATACACTGCTCGAGGAAGTCTCGAACTGTACAGTCAATCTTGTACAGCTCGACAACCCTCTTTAACCATGTATGGGACACCGAGTCAAATGCCTTTCTGTAATCTATCCAGGCGGCGGAGAAGTTCCGACGGTTGCGTTTCACCACTCTGCCAATGACCGCGTCAATGAGGAGTGGTTTCTTGGTTCCACGACCGCCGCCCCGACATCCATTTTGAGCGCGCGACATCACCTGATTTGAGTCCAGATGACGAGCGATTCTCGCGCTCAAAATGGATGTTAGTGTCTTGTATATGGTCGGTAGACACGTGATGGGGCGGTATTTGCTCGGGTCTGTGGCACCCTGATCTTTAGGAACCAAATGAGTGATCCCAGTAGTGAAGAGGCTTGGGAGCGACTTCTAGTTGAGAGCCTCTTGAAACTGTCGGGCGAGCACAGCGTGACACACCATGAACCCCTTCAGCCAGTAGTGATGCAGCCCGTCAAGCCCCGACTTTTCCAGTTCGGGGCCCTACGGACCGCCTCAGCTACGTCATCCGGCGTTATGATGACGGGGTCCATGGGCGTAATACCCGCACACTGACTCGCCACAACTTCCGTCCAAGGGCCCTCGTTGTGGTTTACGGGCTCTGACCACAGGTTGCGCCAGAATGCGACCGTGTCGGATTTGGTGCTGGACCCATTCCACTTACTATTGGTCGCTCCAATGATTTATAGAGCCTCTTCTGATCACTCTGGAAGAGACGATTCTGGTTGAACCGTGTCGACCTCTCGGTATATCGCCGAATCCGCTTTCCCCAAGCAGCGATTCTTTGCTTCAGGTCGTCTATGCGCTCCGTCAGTTTTTGCATTATATCCGGCTGGGACAAACTAACATTTGTCCCAGCAAACGCCATCCTGACGGTGCGCACAATCCTTGGCCTGGTATTGACTGACCTGAAGCATATCAGTCTGCCGATGAGGACCCTAGCCTTTGCGATACGTTCTTCAATTCTTATTCTCCAGGCTGGGATAGCACTACTTTGTCCAGTAGCGCGTCCAGCCGTGGAAAGTTTGGCGCCTATAATACGGCAGATTGCCAGTGCGGCGCCAAAAAGAATTGAGTCCGTCTCGCAAAGGTCCCGGCTGGCTTCCAAATAGGTAACCAGCATTGGGTTCAGAGCCCTCACGACAGCCCGATTCCGCTTGCTTAGGGCTAAGCGGGGAAGAAAGGTCGATTTTCGAGAGGCGCACTGCGCGTTTCGCGTTACCTAAATTAAACTATATATTTAAATTAATAAATTACGGAAGTTATTGATAATCCTTTCACTATTTTATGATAAATGTTATGATGACACTAATTGGAGTTTGGCAGTAATGTATTTTCATTATTAATATAAAATGTGAGTTTTGGCAGCAATATATTCTTATAAATATTCTCAAAAATATAAGAATATATTGCTGACAAACTACAATTGTTAAGAGGATTATACGGGTAGAGCCACGCTGCAACTTTATCATGGTTGTAGCACGAATGGCTCGGCTCGACCGGGGAAGAACCACGCTCTCACAGAATACCAGCATATAATAGCAGCTTGATTCTGCTGTGAGTGTAGAAAACCGGAGACCCATTTTACTGGAATCGAGGCATTCCATCTTAGATCTCTTTTGATTCTTAATCGAGGTTAAATGTAGTTTCTATGGGCTACAGCATCCACTTACCATCAGATGGACTGTGTGCTCGTTTGTCAAGTCAATTCTATAAAAAAAGAGTTTAGGATTCATGTTGGAGCTATCATTGTTCCCAAAAGACACATCAAGACGCCGTTAAGTAAGCGTCGACGTAATTGTTGATGTGCGCAGCGCCTAAACACATCAAATATGCAACATATTGCCTCCGCTGTGCTACTTCAGTACCTTTCTCAGTTTCGCTTTATACAAAGGTACTCTGTGTTTCTCAGTTCGGGGAGGACCGAAATGGAAATCCCGTAGCTAACTCTAAAGCTTGACACAACAAACATAACTTGAACATGACAGCAAATCTGTAACTACATCGGATATTATTTTGAGTTTGGGTCTCGAAACCTCTGTCTATTTTTTACATTAGGTCAGAGCGACTGCAAGTTTCTGAAATAAAAATACCATTTTTAATTAATTAAGCAGTGCTTAAGACATTCATGTAAATTTAAAACCGCAATAACATTACGAAATATATTTATTTCGTATAGTCATACGTTTTAATAAATACCGCGTGCAATTATCATTTTAGTAATGACTGATGACATATTAAGTTATTGACAGTTAAATAAATAGTTCGTCATTTCTCGGCGTACCGTAAAATTCAACGTTATTGGGTAGAATGAGCAACAAATTTTCGTCACAAATAATTTATTTTATATATCCTACGAATAAGGTTACAACCTTTAAAATTAGGTGTAATCGATTTTTTTTGATACTAAAAGATGTACATATAGTGTAAAGTCGGTTATCAATAGAAATAATATGTCGTCAGTTACCATTGTTAAATATACAAAAGCACCTATCAAGTGAAATCAGCGACAGTGACTCGACAGCTAATTAATTTACACCTGACAATAATTACGTTTCTTAATAGAGAATTCCTTACGGCATTAAGTTTGTCCTTTATGACCCTTAGTTTTAAGCGTTTGAAATAATGAATAAATAAACAAAAATAAATATATAAGTATAATATAAAAATCAATTCGAGTTTGCCCAAAAAATTTTTATTTCTACTCTTATTATGAGATTTACAGAGTTCTAATTTTGATTTAGTAACTTCTCACGTCATACTAATTTTACAGCTCAATGGGGTTTTCACACATTCAAATATTTATTTTATTTTCTTGTCCTAACTTTTTAACTACTATCTATTAAATAAAAATACATTTTTAATTATTAGACAGAAAACTAGAAAATCTATGAATCTATCGACAAGTTTAAAAATTTTAATTTACACTTTACTTTAAATAAATTTTCTTATGAGTCTCTCAAAAGAGATTTTATTTTATTATTTTCTTAAGATGTGACCCTTTGATATGTTTTTGGTTTATATTTACATTAAATAGTCTATAGCTTCGATATTACCTGGAATATGTCCATTCTACTAGTTTATTTATCAGAAGGTATTTAGAAGGAGTAACTGCAAATATTTTTTTGGATTTTTTGAATCAAAGCTTGTTTAATTCAGTAAGGTAGTACTTATTGCAGTTTATTCGTTATAGGGATGTAAGAACATTATCATCACCATACAAATGATCATTGTAATTACATCGCTTTACAAGTCCACTGCTCAAATAAACATCTTCCAAGAAACGCCACAAACAGGCTCCTATGCAACCTGCGTCCATCGATATATATCCATAATACCATAACATCACATCTTTTCTCTAAATGTAACCTGCTGATTCAGGAATGGGGCTCTGGCAATCGATTAACGGTTGAACTATCCAAAAATGCTGAAATGATCATTTACAGACTAGTAATGGGGAGCAGCTTTACCAGTTACTAAACCGTCTGATGACGAATATAGGCAAAACTTCTAAGTAATGCCTAAGCCCATATATATAGCTATATTCGTATATATATATAGCTATATCGATATTATGACAGTCGTTTCACAACAATAGTATTTAAATATTTTAGACATTATAAGGTTTATTTCAGCGGGAGCCTTTAAAATAAAGTTTATTTAAGTATTATCTGGTATATGTAATATGTAGCTAAATTTTGAACAAACCTTTCCAATGCTCGTGTAAATCAAGGCGTGAGGTAACTATAGAGTTAACGTAAGTGAGTATGTTAGGTGGAGTATTATATAAACGATTTGTGTAGTCACGTGTCCGTGACGAGAGGGCGCCGCGGTACTGCAGGGCCGCTGCACGTGTCTACCATCGATCCGACAGTACCCTACATTGTGTCACACCTTTACACAAATTATCGCAGCCCTACGAGTATCCACAATACCTGTTGCTTTAGGGGTTTGGACTTTAATCAATAATTAAGAAGTGAAATTAAGTAGGAAGAGATTATAAAGATAAGAAACAAACTTGCATGCTAAATTAAATTATTATTTATGTACATTACAAAGTGTTTTGAAGAGAACACTTCTTAGTTGCTATTTAAAATTCGATGAAACTAAATCTATAGGATTTGGCCTGTGAGGGAATGAGATAGAATTTTATATAAAATAAGTCGAGTTTGGGCCACCTAGCTGTTATACATACCACCTTAGGAATCAATAAATTTTTATACGATAAAATGACTTTACTCATAAAATGAAGTAGATGGCGCTTATGCAAAACAATTATACTCGAAAGAAAATATTTTTTTGATTTTACTAAAATTTAGGCTCTACATGTCTAGAAATAAGTAATGTAACATTTATATACCACAAAATTAAACTTATATTTTATGCAGCACTTGTGGTGGTAAATGATAATGCTAAATAAAACATTTGCCGTAAAATATTTTTATTTTATATATATTTCATTTTATTTGAAAGTTTACTTCTATAGTGTGTGATCTGCACACATTATTTTTTCCTCATTTTTAGTGTAATGAATTTCAGCAATCCGTTCTGTACATATAATGACCAACAAACTTTTTTTTAAACTAGATATTTAATTAGTGAATGTATTTACTAACCCTGAAAGAAAAAAAAACTTAAAAATATTTGTTTCAGTTAACGTTACAAAGAGAGTCATGAATCGATGTTTTCGGCATTTGTTCTTTATATAAAAATATGAAATACAGGTTTCAGCCTAGTTCAGCAATGCTGTTTTACACGTTTTACGTTAAAAATTCTTGTAAAGTATAATATATATTAAAAGACTACACTTTTATCTTATGATTATTTAGGAATATATTAACTGATATATTAAAAACAAAGTATATGATATACAGAAATTTCAAATTCCTAACTAGTTTAGTTTATTCATCAGATTAAAAAACTGTTTTAAACTAACAACTTCGAAGCCTCCGTCCCCCAAACATTCTTAAAATACAAAATGATAAAAAATATAATTGTACTTTACTCATAATGAACCCTTGACATTGATTCTGATAGATAAAAAGAAGCTGAAACTTTTTTAAATTTAATTTTAAATACAGATTTTTTAAAATTATTTAATTAAGTTTTTAATTCAATGTTCGGTTTTAATTCAACATTCTACCCCAATTATCCACATTTTAGATCTATAACTCATTTAGTTTACGAGCTAGCGATCTGTAACAGACGGATGGGCAGACAGGCAAACAGCACAGTGATATTAATGGGGCTCCCCTCTGTTTTACACTTTAGGTACAGAACCCTAAAAATTGTGACAGTTTCATGAGAGTTTATAAATTGCCATCGCTAGTTTTGACCAAATAAATTCGCATAGTAACTGTCCCTTATAAGAAATATTTTGTGTTTTATAAATTGTTTCCATATATAATATTTCAACAGCCTCCACTTTAGAATTCTAAATAAAATAAATATGGCTGTCCGCCAAAATGTTGAGGCAAAGTCACCGCATGAATCAGCGGCCACCTGCAATACGGTATAGTGGATTAGTGTTGACTCGAGTACAGACATTCAGCGCAAATCTAAATCTGAAAACCGTTACTATCACAGCATATTAAAGTCCACTGCTGAACATAGTCTATTCTGCATGGATTGCCCCATAGGAGAGATATTTGCCATAGTTGCCACGCTTTGCAAGCGGGTTAGCAACCGCAGTTTTTTATTTTTAGTCTTTATTAAGAAGAGGCTGCTGCCCATCTCCTGATCTTTATCCCTCTGTCGCCTCTTACGACACCCACGGGATGATATGGGGAAGTGGATAGTGGGTACGTTGCAAAATGTTATACTAACGTATACTTCTCAACATAGCGGAATGTTTTGATGTGTTTTCTTATGACGAAGTTTGATAATTTTAGATAATATTTTCGGCTAATCGCAGCTTATAACCACGTATTGATCAACAGCTTTATATTTGTTGGTTTTTTATCTGTTTTGATTTTCTTTTTTCCTGCTGTGCTGATGCTGCTGTGCCCGCGTGAGTAATTTTTAGTAATATAATATGACACTTTCCTATTTAAATAGGATTTTGTTCACAATTTCATGGGCCTTATTTTTTTTGCGCGGAAACCTAATTCTTTTCCTGAAATA